AAGGTCTTTATCTAATTTGTAAAGGCATTTAGATTAAGATGGAAAAATAATGTTTAGAATTAACCTCTGCATTAGAGATGAGGGAATGGCGCTACTGAGCCAGTTTGGCAACAGAAAGAGGAACAAAAGGAGGGAGGTATCTCCACTCAGCCCTGTGGTCGCTGAAGAAAAGCCAAGGATGCATGAGGCACACTCACGCGAGGCCACAGACGAAAGACGAAATTCCTCTTTCGCTGCTGTCCCTGCCTTCTGTCGGAGCAGCTCTCCGACAGCTGAGACAGCAGCTGGCCATCTCAGAAGAGTCACGCTGGGTTTTGCGCGCGAGAGAGAACCGCTTCTTCTGCAAGCATGTGCGCCAACAAAGTTCTGAATGCAGCTTTCCAACTCTAGGTAGTAGCTTTACGAGCCTCCCTGGCACACGAAAGCTGCCGATGGGATGTTTAAATTGGCAGGCGGTTTGAGCTGTTGACCCCAGCTCTGAGGCTGACCGAGACAAATTGCTATCAGCTCATATTTGGCACCGGACAACTCTTAACGAAGAGCTCCTTTCATCTTGGGATTTCCTTTCCTCGAGAATGGTGCAACATCTTCATAGCACGGTGGTAAGTCATGCACACGTGCTGTGATCATTCTGTCACTGCTTCACCACGCTACTTTTAAACGAGTTCCATACTCTGGTACTTTTCATGCAGTCTAGGACTAAATCATAGCAGATTACCAAGTCAATATATTTACATTAACAGAGCCTGAAGAAACATTGATTTTACACCTTCTATTCATTTATTACGAACCTTCTGTCCAGTTCCACTGAGCAGACAGATTCTAGGGGAGAGATTTTGCAGGGAGCAATGGCAGTAACCATCAGAAAAGATGCTTATTGTCTTCGTTAGTTCCAGCGGCAATGACCAAGGGGGGTCCAAGCAGAAGGCAGACCTACTCTGGCTAAACAGAGCAGGATGCCTTAAAGGAAAGCATAAGATGGTAACACTGTCCATACTTCCATCTATTTGTTGCCATTACATATGCTTGGGTTATCATTACTGCAAAGGTTCAAACTGGAGCTGACTAGTAATAAATGTTAATTTAACGCATAATAGAATGTTCCCCAAACTCCACAAACGAAGGCTGTAATTCCATTAAGAGGACCCTTGTGACAGAAGCCATGTCAGCAGAGCTCAGGTGATCTATCAAGGCCATCAGAACCCAGAGGTGGAATTGCAATTTTAATTTATGGGCATTTCAGGGATCTGTAACCAAAACTCTGCGCTACCCCTGAAACCCACAAGAGGTGCTGAGATGCTACAAAGTAAATCATTAGAGCTTAAACTTCTCAAAGGTGGCAGTGTTACTGGAAAGCAATAAAGGCAGAACTCTGCTAGTATGATGTAGAGAAGTGTTTTTCGCGTGAAGACACCTGCAGCAAAAGGAACCCCGTTTCCTACCCACGCATTACACCAGCCTGAGTGGCAGAGGACTTGATGCCTGCGGTAAGAGGCAAGGAATTCAGAGAAATGCCTGATGCCAACGTAATAAACACATATATCAACCAAAGAATGCAGTTTATTTCTCGTTGCTAGCTGTTGGGAGTGAGCTAGCTCTCCTTGGAGGCCAGCGGCTTCATGCTCAGCAACGCTGAACTCACGAATCAACTCGCAGAGTTACAAGTGCCCAGAAACTTTTTCATGACTTTAAAGTTTCAAGACCTTCAGTAGTTAGACAGGTTCTAGAAAAAAAACCCCAGCAGATTTCTTATTTTCCAGTTTCACATGGAGAAACACAGGAGTGATTTGCCAAGCTGGCGTAATTATGGAGAAGGAATTTCCTAACAATCTGTGAGTCATACCTCGGGAAGAAAGTGCCTCCATGAAAGACCTTTCAAAGTATGACAGAGTCTAACCAACCTAACCTCCTAACGTAAAATAAATCCCACCTGATGGGGTTAGTGCTCATTATATCCCACAGTCCCCTCTCAGCTGAGACATCTGCGCCAACAAAACCCCTGTTCAGTCATGTCGATATTACCAGTCCCAGAGAAGTCTGGGAAGCTTGGCCATGGGACGCTTGTTCTCTGCTGTCTGAATAAAGGCACTACATTTCCAGGGTAGTATATTATAACACTGAGTGCATTTTTGAGTTAAGGGATGAATTTTGAAACATTTTACTACCAGGACACTAAAATCAAAATATTGTATGTAGTGTTGCCTAGGTAGTAGCAACTTGATAAAAACCTCAATCAAAGTAGCCAGAAAAACTGAAGATAACCTTCCCACTATAAAAAATCCATAAGGACAACATCTGGCTTAATGCTAGAATCAACACCAGATACATCTGTTGAGTAGTATTACCAATGTTACTGCATAGGGCTTTCTGGTAAGGAGACAATAAAGAACTTTTCCTGTTGCAAATACGTACTTTGAAAACACATGAAAAGTGTGATATAGATAGAATACAGACATTTCTCCCAAATGAAACCCAGACGAAATCAAAGCCTATGCAGTCCAGTATCCTACTTCCTACATATGGGAAGGAAAATGAAATGACTTCATGAAGGAGGCCACAGTATATAAGACCGGGATCAGCTGCGTATCTGGACTGATACGACTCCCCAATCTCCCATCTGGACAAAACTCAGGAAAACGTGTTCTCTGAGGAGAATAAATGACCAATTTATTATTTATGGTGTGATAGAGAACTAAAATATCTCGGAAGCTAACGGAAGAACCATGGATATTCTCAAGCTCATGTTGCTTTTTGAGTCATCGCAGAGAGAGAAATACGGCGCACCAAGAACCTGAGCTCACACACCGGTACTCCAGTGAGCGTCTCACTGCAGGGAGCTTTCAGGCAGATCTGCAATGCTGAGCCAACTTCCATTACAGCGGAAAAACCAGCTGAGGTCCCTGCTTTCTCTGGTGTCGAGGGAGAACCGTACAATGCCACGCTGCCACTGGACTGCGCTGCGCTTGTGCTCCATACAAAAAGCATCCGATGCCTCAGTGCTGTTTGTGAGGGAACCGAGGAAAATAATCTATGTCCACAAACAGCGATACAGGACCTCTGTTACCATCACCTCAAATACGCTGAAGCTTGCTGTACCCGGGCATGTTATCTCAACAGACTTTGAACGACAAAGGGGAGCTGGTCTTTTAAAAGACCTACTTTCCTACCTTCCTTCCTTCCTTCCCAACAGAGCTTACCATTTTCCACACCATTTCTCCCCTGGGAGAAAGGAATCTCCCAACTGACCCAAGACCCGGCTGACGGGACGCGCCTGCGCTCCTCTCACTGCTGGTGGAAGGCAGCAGCTTGGGAGAGAGCCTGCTGTGGTTCCTACCAGCCTGTCCCTTCAGATGTTCTGGATAATTACTGAGGTGAACCTCTTGGCCCTCCCACAGAGAGACAGCAGCGACGGACGTACCAGGGAAAAGGATATAACTTAAAGAGGAAGGGTTATGAGATACCAGGTGGTTCTGAAAGCCTGATTATTTATTTGCAATAGTCTTCCTGCAGCTGAACTAGGAAAGAACAAAAGTAGGATTCTTAAAAAAGAGTCCTGGTTCCAAAATTCCTAAAATCTGAAGAACTGAGAATAAATACAGCCTGAGATAAACATGGCAGACCCATGAAAAGATGCATCCTGCGGAGGCAAAGCTTGGCTGGTGCCTGCCACAGTGTCTGCCTGCGCCCTACTTGGTATTCTTTTATTTTCAGGATCTGCAAACAGAACAGGCAAGATCTTTTCTCTTTTTTTCACAACCAGAACAGCAGCTTACTGGCACAGCTGGTACACAGAGCACACGTACACAAGGACAAGCACTTGAAGAAGATCTTATTTACGTTATAGTCACTGTTACTTACAGTTCACATTTAGTCTTGTTTGTGATTTAGGAACAATAGGGAGTGACAAGCGTGCACTGAAAGGTGTGAGAACGGTATGACCTAACGTGTTTCCCCCTGCTTCTGCCCGTTTTGATTCACGAAAGCACCAAAGCAATGAGCAAATAACATTCCTATTTTCAGCCAGATTGAAGAGTATACTGAAAATTTATCATTGGTGTAAGTGATGTCCTGAGTAAGTGATGTACTGAGTAAGGACGGATTAATTCCCTTGCTTAAGGTTAAGCTAACGCTGAACCCTTTCTTGAAACAGGACGCAATTCTGAAGCTTTAATTTGGTAACACGCTGCTTGCTATCCCCTTCGTAGCTGCAAGACTGAGCCCCGCAATTCTATTTATAAAGTCTCTTTGGTAACGTTTCCAGTAAATTAGTGACTAATGGAGCTCTTTACAGCTACTACGTACTGGATATTAGAGCCTTCAGGATGCACTAGTGCATCGCAGAGCTACACGGATGAAGGTTACAACGAATGACAGAACTGTTGGATTAGATGGGGTTTTGGCTTATATCGAATAATTTTTTAAACAGGCATAGACATAACATCCTCCTCTTACCTCAGAGCTTGTGCCAAAAAAAATAGTAAGTTTGCAAATGGATATTAAGCAATGCCAGATATTTTCTGGGTTTGTTTTAACAAATTAACCCTTTGTGTTCTTTTCTGATGTCCAAATAATTGTATTGGAAGCAGATGTTCTACCAAAATTGACATGATCAGAAGACATTATGCTCACTTATTAACATATTGTTTAATATTCACTACAACCTGTTTTAAAGAACAACAATGCGTTAACATTTAAGCCAGGAGGGATTTCTGTACACTATATAGTACTTGATGCAGCTTGTTTATGCAACAGTCTGACAGATACAATTAATCTCATGAAAACGACCACGGCACAGCATAATGGCATATTATTTTTAAGTAATAGAACACCCTTTCCCTTTGAAAATCAGGACTTAATTAAATCATATAACTTCAGGGTGCAGAGAAAAGCACTCAAAGAATGCAGCTCATTCTGAAGGACAGTTGAATGAAAAAATGGCAGGTTTTACACAGAGAGAATAACCGGATGATCTTCAAACAAGAGAAAGAAGCATGAAATACCTCCGACAAACGCGTCTCCAGCTCCATTGGTATCCACAATTTCACTCTGATCGCTCACCAATACAGGGAAAGTAGTCACTTCGTTTTCTGTAGCGGAAGGGGAGAATAAAACGTGAGTTACTTGCAAACCTGACTTTGAAAAGCACAACAAACAATGAAAATCAAAACAACTGAAAAACGGACCTCTGACCTTTAACACGATAACTTGGGTAAAACCAGACTTGGTTTACAATTCTGGCTGTATTTACTGCATAGGGATACAGGAACACAATTGATCAAGTTATTTGTTGTGGACATTGTCATTAATTACTTCCAGCTTAACTTCTTTTCTTTATCTCCTAACAAGCAAATCAGGAGGAACAACATGGAACACCTGGGCATGTGGACGAGACGAAGAAAACCCAGCCTGCCAAAACCAGTGCTTCCTTTTAGATGCAGAGAGGTGATGGAGCCTCCAGACTGGCCAGTCCAAGCTTCCAAACACTCAACAGAAATTGCTGCATTGCAAAACCCAAAAGGCACGTGAGCTAACGAAAATAAAGCTGCGCAATAAAAAGCAGGAACCAGTGTAAATCAAAGTGCTCTCAAATCACACCTTTTTAAAAAAACACATCCACGTAAGAAGCCTTGCAGCTTGCCATCTGATGAGATTTGCTTTCAAGATTTCAGTGACTTCACTCTCTTCCTTAGTATTTCTTTTTTTAAAAATATTTCCTCCTCTGCAGCTCCCTGCCCTCTACTGGCACTCCTTGAACCCACGGCGATGGGTGGATACTCCGCATCCTCACCTCCAGCTCGCTGCCACACCACAGCTCAACAGAATTACACCACTTAGGTATGATAACTTTAGAGTTCTAGGGTTATAAATTTAATACACGCCACTAATTAATCAGCTCTGGCTTTCCAGGTGGTAATGTCATAATGACATGATAAAAATATAATTACCACCTTGTCACAATACCTTGTTAAAGTGTAAATTACCCCTGTAACAGAGCCAATGGAAGTTCTGCCTCTGGTAGTCAGTATGCATTAAACTGTCTCCCAGAAAAGGGAAGAAAAGCCTGTCAACCAAGGAAAACGAAAACTGCCAGAGCTGTTTTCTTTTCATTTTTGGTAAAAATAGAAAAATAACGGGAAATAGATCCTCCAGTGGCTGAAAGTTGGAGATGAGCGGTTTCTTCACCGTCCAGCAACAGAGCAGATCATAAAAATCCCTCTCAGGCTGACGTCGACGGGAGCAAACAAGAAAGCCTAGTTTGGGAGGCACATAATGAATTCGCAGTCTCAAATCAGGCCAGGCTGCGTATGCGGCAGAGGTACCAGAAGGCTCCTGGTTTCTGTGAAATGCAGTGTATCAGCTCTACTGCTCCTCACCATCTGCTCCGAAGCGAACCAGGCAGATATAATGATGCTGCCTCCAGAGGGAACTGTTGGCTGGCCCACCAGGAGGGGAGGGGAGCATTCGCAACAGCCAGCCTTGAGAGGCAACAGAAAACGGGTAGTGAAAAAGAGAAGATGAATATTCCAATTAAAGAACAGGGTTCAGTCGGTTCTCGGTGCATCCTCCTTTCTACCCTGTTCAGAAAGCCATTTAGAAACATGCTTCGATGCTGCGTTGTGCTCTTCAGATCGTCTTCAAGAGGAATGTTTTGTAGTAATTTTAACAGGACTCATTTGAATTGGAAATCAAGAAAGAGAGGTCTTACGTGAAACTCTGCCAGACGAGCAGAGCGTATTCATCCATTTCACGAGAAGGTATGTATGATTTGCTCTAGGTAATACTCAAACTATGAACACAGTGGTAACTCTGTTGAAGACACACTGGAATAAACTAGCCTGCTTCCTCCCGAAGCGTGCACGGGCACACACAGATGTTCTGCGTTAAATACTCGGGGGACACTGGCCCACGCAGACAGATGTAGGCGTCTGGGCACGGAGAGTGAGTAACGCACAGACAGTATATCTGCATGCTGTGAACGGGGCTGGGCATCAGCACGACTCTATTCAAGCACACCAAGACGAATGAAAGTTCTCACCATCATCTTTCTCCTTGCTTGTCCTGCTCCCTCTAGTACCTGCAGGTAAGCACTGCACTATGAGGTCTTACTCTGTTCCTTCTGGGCAGAGGTAACTGTAGGTAACCGAATTAGCCTAAAGCCCCAAACACATCAAGGAATTCAGCTGGTGTGAGAACAATCTTTTTTTTTCCTGATCACAGATTTCCATCTCTGCCTGGGTCATACATTCTGTCTCTATAACTTCACGTATTATCAAGAGGAGCAACAATCTCATAATCCAAAGGACTGAAGTTTCAGCAGCAGCTAGCATGGCTTTGGAGCACCTACTACATTATAAAGGTATTACCATCTGCACACACCCGACGGGCAAATTACCTTTCTTCAACCTTAGGAGAACTTCTACTAGCATAGCAGAGCCTTCTCAACTATAGTTAACAAGAACACATATTGAAAGAGACAACAAAACAATACAGAGTTGTTATTTTTTTCATTTCCTTCACAATAAATGAAGTCAGAATTAAATTTGCTATGACTCTACGTTGCTATGTCTGTGTAATAGCATGAAAACAGCTAACACCTCTCGCTGATCTGTGTTTTGTAACAACCAGGCATAACAGGGTGAATTAAGATGAAGCAGAAGTTTCCACTCTGAATATCCTTGCTTTTGTGTGACTTGAATGTCGCTTTAACTTCATTTTTGTGTGTGACCTATTGTGTTAGAAAATTTCCAAATCCATCATCGCAACCACGGAGACACCTTGGCTAAGTGCACTGGTCATCAGTGGCCTTGCTTTGCGAAGTCAGTTCTTATTTCATTTATCATTCTGAGAGCTTATGAAATAAGGAATAATTACATAAGTGTTTTGAAGTCCAAGTGCTACTCCTCTGGGCATAAAATCCAGCGTCCTACTTTTAAGCAACAAATATCTTCTATGGTCAACGCCCTGGCGTACAACGCATTCCACTTGGATACCACGTCCTGGAAGCCCGGAATTGTGAGTGTAAATTGCAACAAGGTGTCTATAATTAGGGCAGTTTTGGTAATAAGCATTACTGAAATTGAAAATTTGGGGCCTTTGAGTCAGCGCTCTCAATGATTTTACATTGGTGAGGAACTCCACTGTTTTAGAAGGCTATAGGAATAGTCAAACCCAAAGGTTCATGTGGTCATTTCACAGGCTGAAGACGATATTCACAGACATGCCAGAAGGAACCAGCTCATTGGTAAATTCAGTTATTGTTAATTTGTCACACTATGTACATAAAGCTGTGAAATTTATTTTCCCCAGGCAAAAACACGTGCTAGCATGTCTAGCTTCAGATATTCTTGTAGGTGAAACAGTCTGGAGAGACACAATTGGAGAGCAATTTTAACCGAAAACCCAGCGCTCCTTCCATTCCAACACACTGAAGCTCCCAAACAAACACAGGCCAATTCCATGACATTGGCTAGAACAACCGAACTCTGATGATAGCTGTGATACTGCAGGTCTGTCCTTAAACCAAACCAGAATCACAGACTACACGTCTACTCTTAGTACAGTAATAAACACCAGCAAGCAATCATTACATCCAATTAGGCTGAGTACTTTCCTTAACTGGGTCATTTACCAGTCTCTCTCGCTCTTAAAAGTAGATTAAATGTGTAAACTTACATTTAATTACCTGTAACAGAACTCTTATGGGCAACATGTTGGAGTGTCCTTAATTTTGTATTAAAATAAAATCAAAGTAAGAAGGGAGCCCTAAAATATATACAAAAACGTCTAGCTATTTCCTCAAATAAGCTTTTGATCCGGGGGCTGGTGGTGGTAGCACAGATGCTTACAAGCTGGAGACACACTCGTGTTTCTTTTGTGAGCTTTAGCTTGTAAAAAAAGAAGCAACTGCGAAACAGAATTCTGTCCCATCTCCTCCCCACGTTCACCCTCTCTAATGCTCTTTAGATTGGGGGCCAAAAACAGATTAAAAAGAAAGGAGGGGGAACAAAAACAGACAGGAAGACCTTAACAGAACATAGAAACCTGAACTGAAAACCTGTAAGTGTCTCTGGGCAGCTGTCAGGTAAGAAGTAACGAGAAAAGCATTTGAAGGAAGCCCACATTGGTCAGGACGACTCTGAGCTCTCACCTCTCTCCAGCACATAGAACCCCGCAGCCCACCGGCTCTAAGCCTCGGCACATTTTTCAGCACGTTAATACACCTTTCAACATGGTTAGTGTCGCAACTCTTTCTTCTGTTCCTCATGCAGTAACCCACGCTGTTGCTGCTGTACTTCACACCAAGATAGCCCACCTCGGAGCGTAAATCAGACAGCTCCTGCAGTCCTCCCACCGTACAGCACAGCACCCTCCAAAGCGACGCGGGGCACAGCACCCCGCGTCGGAAATCCTTAGGACTTCCCGCGAGGAATTTCTTCGTGCAAGGCAAAACTAAGCAGTGTGACAAGCAAGACGCAGGTCAGCCGCATGCTCTGGGAGCTTTCTAATCAAATATTTTAATAGGACTGAACAAATGATGCTGTATGCCAATGAATTCAGTATGTAACCAAGACAGCTTTGTAACCAGTAACAGAGAACAAGTTAAGCCTTCATTGCTATAACAAACAATGCTACCCCAAAGAAGTTCCAGAGTATAATTTATAACAAATTATGCCCACGGTATGACACACTTAGTTAACACAAATATTAATTTATTTCCATAATAAAAGACCCAGATAGGGCAATTAGGCTAAAATTCTCCTCGCAGCTTGCTCGGCCAAAGGAAGTCCACATAGCTGTGTTGGCCAGGACACAAAGAACCGTCCCTCAGAGGCAGCTGGTTCATTTTCAGTAGAAACAGAGGAGGAACATGATGCCAAAGATTTGAATCTTCTCTGGCTCTACCCATGGTCCTACAGATACCTGTAGGAGCAACGACTATGTGCAGACCCCATTTCCCCTCTCTCCTCGGAGGCAGAGTCAATCCAAAGCTGTTCAATGAGACTCACCGTCCCTTTATAGCTCTCCCCAGACCTACACTCGTCCCATTCTCCAGTTCAGAGTATTTTTATCCAGAAGTCATACTCAT